TTTGAAAATAGTAAATGTGTCATGTTTGAATGGTATGGATTATTCAATGATCCGAACAATTCTTAAGTCAAAAATTGCATACTTAAGTATGTTAAAGGTACTGTTCCAATGCATCTGGAAGAGTCACTGAGAGAGGAGGGGAAAAAATCTGCCTCATTTAAAAAGTTTGATACAGAGTTAATGGCAGTAATATTTTCCAAGTCTATAGAACGATCCATTAAAGAAAAAAATCTCGGTGGTGTCCCGAATTCTCAGCGGTTTGCTAAAATAAAGCAGGATGTACGTGATGTCATCTTATTTATGCTGAAGTAAAAAGAAAACCTGCCCAGATAAGTTTAGATGCTTATTTTGAGGAAATCCTTTCAGAAATCGCCTTTGTTAGCCTATTTAACATGCCAAATCCTTCTACCTCTCATCCTCATTATGTATGGCCCCTTGTTGATGAGACTTCAGAGTAAGAAAAATCCCACCCATGTAAAGATGTACTATGCTCATTCTCAAAGATGACATCTGAGATATGTACTGTTCAGTGAAGTTATTCTTATATTCTTTCATTTGTTTTAGTATTTTTAACTGCTTGATAATAATAAATGGTTCTTATCTCAAAAATATCATTACAAGATGCGAGTTGCAAACTTGGTAACATTTTATGAACAAATTCATGGTACGAAACTTAACTCATTCATAAGGTGGGAAGCATCTGTGTAGGCTTTGTTAGGTTGCTTCATTAGCTGTCCTGCATCACATGTGTCTATAAGTTGGATATACTTGATTTAAAAGCCTTAAATTTACACAGGGTTGCCACGCTACCTGGAGAACCGGGAAAAGTCAGGGAATTCGAAAATTGACCAAAATATTCAGGGAAAAGTCAGGGAATTTAAGTATTTTTGTCAAAATCTGGAAAAGTCAAGGAAGTTCATACAACGATCCAGCCAAAAAAAGCAATTTTTGCGCCGACGTCGGAAGAGGTAACTTTTTTGGCGAATTATGTATCACGTGAGTGTCATTCGGGTAGCTGGCATAGAGCCAATTTTCGCAGCTCCAATTTGATTGTCTTTTAGAAAGGCAAAGCAACTTTTGGTTTCCAATATTCTCGAGAATCGCATGTGCAGTGCATGAACTAAAGAAAGTACCTGTTCTCGTATAAAACAAAATGGGTTTAATCCTAGTATACGGTACCATGGAGGTTAGAATCAAAGAATATGTATTGTAAAGAAGGAAAACCTCTCTGCAACAGACGTGGCTGTGGCTCCGTTCCATCATAGAGGGAAAACAGCTGTGCATGTCTGATATATCTGTTGCCAAAGCTCGAAACCGGTGTGTCGAAGTTCGAAGGTCACGTTATCAAGAGTTCATAAAATGAATATCGTTTAAAATTTCTTTAACCACTTGCGCTAAAAAGACGTGCCACGCACGTCAAGATGCTTTTGTCTCAAACCGCGAGCGACGTGAACACCACGTCGATAAGCATTTATCGCAAAAATGAAAATAACGTGGTGCACACGTCGCCTAACAACGAGATTGTTTATTTCTCGAGTTACAGCTCTGGATTGCACTCGCAGATGCGGAGCGGCGTAAATGAGACACTTTACCGCTTGTTATATTGTAGCGCACGGCACCGCAACCGTGAAGTTTAGTCTTAGCGCAAGTGGTTAAACTCTAAAGGAAAAGAAAATATTTTTTGGCGCAAGTAAATTAATTCATAAATTAGTTATTTTCAGGGGAAAAAAAAAAAAAAAAAAAACTACGAAAATCCGTTTTTAAAATTATTGCGAAAAATCCAAGAAGAAACGTCCTTTGATAAAACGTTTCTTCTTGGATTTTTCGCAATAATTTAAAAACGGATTTTCGTAGTTTTCCTTTTTGTCAAAGAGCGTTTCTTCTTAACACGTGTTTCTCAATTTCCTGTACACATCGCGGAGAGGGAAATTCTGGCCGTTCCATCGTCCAAAATCCCTTGGCAAATTTTCCCTCCGCATTTTTACATAGACGTTCTTTGGTCATGGAACCTAATCTCCATGTATGCTTACAACGGGATTTGGCGACATCGATGATGCGCAGTAAACGGGTCATTTTGGTCTTGGCGACAATTTTCAAAATCGTGCCAAAGCCTTACCGTATACTAGGAATTTTACCGCAAAATTCTTTTTTTTTTTTTTCTTTTTAAATAATACCTTGTCCATTTTGCAGTAAAACAAAAAAATAGTAATCAGTCATCTAGGCTAGCCATGTAATATAACTATATTCGCTAAAATATCGTTGATTATTCTAATTCAATTTTTAAGTAATTATTTTTATGTTATTCATATAATTTAATGTCGCTTCTTCCCTCTAAATTTATTTATTATTAGTAAATAATATTTCCAAATTTCAGGAAATTTTCTCTGGCATAATCCTGAAATTAATTATAGCAGTATGATGACATACCAAATTTAATGCACATATTTTTTCCTTATGTATGCTGCGAAATAAATATAAAATACCTCAATTTATTAAAATAGATTTCTTTCTTTCGTTTAGCTGCAGAATGTCTGCAAAAAAAGCCTTATTTTATTCCAGATTGGGAAGATTCTAATTTCAATCTTCAGTGGAGAAAACAACAACTATTATAATTATATTTGTGTTTTCAAGTGTTAAGGTGCCTTTTAAGAACATACCTCACGCAAATTAAATTTACCGTAATTTCGCACGTATGGTCCGCACACGAGATTTTATATAAAAAAAATTTAAAAAATCGTCAGATAGTCCGCGGACTATACGTCCGAAATTACGTTTTTTTAATACTGCAATATTCCCATGCTTTTTAAACACATCCTTTGTTTGCGCCAATTTCTCACCGCTTTCTCGTTCACTTCAAAATAACGGGGTAAAATCCTAGTATACGATGCAGCCTTGGCGCGACTTTCAAAATTATCGCCAACACCAAAAATGATCCAAAGAACGTCTATATATATACTATATACACACATAGTATATATACTATATACATAGTATATACTATGTTTAACCATATATTTTCTTTGAATGACCCGTTAACTACTCATCATAAAGTAGCCAAATCCCGTGTTCACCGAATACTAGGATTAAACCAATAACGGCCCGTTTCTCTATTTCCATCTTTTTCCCGGCGATGTTTCATCAACGTTATCGAAGATGAAAGACAAAATACTGTGCAACGTGCTATGCTCGTGATAAGTGGTAATGAAATGTGACCTTCGACCTCACTTACTCGGTGTTGCCAAACTACGCTATAAGTAAACGAATCACGCTTTTTGTTTTTAGTCCAAAGGGGCTTTGTCCCTGAAGGACTATTGTTTTCGTTTTGCAATTTTGCGTCGGACTCATAAACGTCGGTTCACTTTTCAAACTGTTGCCACAAAATGTTAGAGTCCTGCATTACATTTGAAGAAATTAAATAATGAAAAATCTGCATAAATGATTGTCTATTTCTCGCATTGTGATAAAACAATGGTACATAGAGCCATCGAATTTTGAATGACGAAATCCTACTGCGAATATGGGCATCTGAAATCCCAAATTTGGAATTTGTTTTATTATAGATTTTATATTTTTTAAAACTTTAACGAATTTTTGATTTACAAACTCAATGCTTTAAAAGCGAGAAATGGCAACGTTGTATAGAAAAAAAATACTTTTATCTCCAGCTCGCGAGACTGTGTATATCGGAAATTCTAAAGATATGCTTAATTTAACATTATTTTGCGATATTGCTCTTGAACTGAATTGTATGGTTTAAGTGCAAAGAACATGATATTTAATAAATAAAGGTAACACTCAAAACGTTAAAAAAACGCCCCTTTGGACGTAATTTAAAATCTGAAACATTTCAGATTTTTTTTTTTTTTTTTTTTTACTCCAGGTACTTGCTACTATGGTTCCTAAAAACCAAGGTGGCGCATCAATTACTACTTTTCCCTCGTCCCGGCAGTTGCGCTGTATTAAAGCAGTGCGAAGGATACTGGGATACAAGACTCTGGTTGCGCTAAGTGAGTGCTCATACAAGACTTTCTTTGTGCTCATATCCCAGCATCGCTTGATGCGCCAGCCTGGATTTTAGGGAGCTCTACTTGCTACTACTCATTCGTTCTGCACTATGCTCTATGGTTTACTATGCGATACGATACATACGAATGCTTTTCTTTCCGGAATCTCGCGCTTTTTTTATATTTGATCATCGGCAGTTCACGACAGCGTGTTTTTTAAATTTCAACGATTTTAACCGTGAACAACCAGCGTATTATCCGCACTGGTGGATAGTCCGCAGCTTCAAAAATTCTCATTTTAAACACAGATAGTCCGCAGACTATACGCGCGAAATTACGGTACCTAAAATCTAACCTAACTATTTAGCATTGCATTGTGATTTATAAGGACCGGATTAGCCTTGTGTTGAACTGGTGATGATCATGAGTAATAATTAAATAAAACATACATTTGTTATCCAATATATATATCTTAAATTTTATTAAGTTTCTTAAGTGGAAAACTAAACAAAATTATCAAACAAAGTATACCAAGAATAATTAAAATAAATGTCCTCTGGGATTTATTAAATAATTAAGTGAATTTGCTACACAATACAAGTAATACCATAATTAATTTACCTCTTAGTACAGCCAACGTACATTACGCGGATAGACTGGAATTTTCTTGAAACACACCTGGAAAACCTGGAAAAGTCAGGGAATTTCGTTCTCCTGTTTGAGTGGCAACCCTGTTTACATTTCCATCTTTTAAAACTTTTTTTAAATACAAAATATCTTGAAGAACTCTTAACAGTCTTGTCAAAAGGGCAGAATTGCTATTAAAACAAAAAATTAATAGAGAAAAATATATAATTTAATATACAAAAAGTAGAAAGATGAATAAAAATCTTTACGTAAGTTGAATAATTTTAGCAATCAAAAATCCCTATAGTAGTTATTCTTCCAGATATTGAAATTTCAAATATATGATGACTGAAAAGAAAAAAAGTTACATTTTTCCAAAGATAAATATTTATTGGTCTTCACTAAATTGCTATTGATGTATACAGAAAGCAAATGAACTTTTAATTTACAACCAATATTTTACTAAACATTATATTGCTAAAAGAATAACATTCTTATAATCCAAAATTAATTATATATACAAGTATTAAAGCAATAGAATTTGCTAACATTCTCCAGATATATTTTTGTATAACTTATTCAATTATACAAAATGAAAGAAAATTATAATCCTACAGTATATAAATGTCACTTAATCAAAAACTATAAGAGGATCACACTGAGGCTCCTGAGGTGGTGGCTGAGGTGCTTGGTGTTGAGGGGACTGCTGCAAATTCTCTGGTAAACTGACAGGTGGATTCTGCTGCATCATGGGAGGCTGAGCCACCTGGACACCTTGAGGCATCATACCCATATGAGGAGGCAGTGGACCTTGGGACATAATCATTTGAGGCCCCATAGGAGCTGTTGTAGGAACTCCAGGTGGTTGTGGAAAAGGAGCTCCAGGCGGAATTGATGGTAAAGAGGCTGAAACTACATAAATAGCAGTTTAGATTACAACTATGTACACAGAGCGAAAGACAATCAAAAAGATTTTGTAAATACAGATAAGATCTATGAAGAGTTCAAAATATTTTAATTGATAGTTTTCAAACCATATTTGAAATGTTTTCATCCATATGATTCTGCAGGTATTTTCTTTGAATTTCATGATGATTAAACTCACTCATAATCATCTATTTAATATGTTAGGATAATACTGCTAAAAAGTGCTAATTTTGATTTGTGCAAAGTGATTTTATGCATATTTTAAAAAGTTTACTACATCATTTTGTACAATAACCATCTATATATTGCTATTTTAAACTAAAATTTATAAAAAATTACGATTAATACCATTTTGTTTCTTTTCTACTCCTTTTGATTTATCCTGATAAAAAGAAAGGAAAATTTAAAAATTGCAATACATTTTTATTAATGTAAAATATATTAACAAATTATTCTGAATTTGAAGTTTTTTTGGGGACGAAATGGGATAATTTTAGCCTACTGTAATTTTCTTAAAACACTGTACTGATGAAACCTTGGATAAAGAAATGCTTTTATTTATCATACTCTTTTCAACACTGAAAATTAATAATTAATGTGCATATAAATTAATATATCAGTTACAGATCTAAAGCAAAATTAAATACAGAGATACCTGTTGTTAATAAATGAAAAGTTTTATAATGGATTAAAAAGTTACAACTAAATCAAAATAAATTAGGTAAATTATTCCGAAAATGACTAGCAGATAAAAATGGGACAAAGGCATTCTATTCTACTTAAAGAAACTGCCTGGTCAGTCCACCATGTCTACAGCTGGTTAAACATAATAAAAATAATAATCATCATGCTGATTAAAATGTTAAGAATCTCATCAAGAATTCCCTTCCAGAATTTTTATTTCCTTTAATATTTGGTATCAATAATTTTCCAACAACTTCATTTGAAAGACATGACCTAAGTTTAGTACATGTTTACCTAATATGATTGAATAGCCATCTACATTCAACATTATTAATAAATAATCAAAGCCAAAAGAGCTATATAAAAGAATCTTGACTTTTTTCCTTTGCTACAACCATTTTAGAACTTGTTAGGCCTATATCGCACAGCGTTTGTTTCACACGAACAACTCTTTCGGTCAATTTTTCTGCCTGGTTTACTATTGAAAGAAAGACGTGCGACTTTTTCCTTCCTTTTGAAAAAAATTGCAAGTTGTTCCTTTTCAACCAATCAGCTATCAGCTTGTTTATGGGAAAACCAGTTTCTCCTGTGTTAACCCCAAAGCTATCTATGGTGATTGGCTGTTGTGAAAAAGCAGAAAAATTCTTCCAAACAGTTGTTCTTCCGAAACAGAATTTACAGATCAAAATGCATGAAATTTTCAAATTGAAATTCACAAAATTCTGCTTGAAGTTTATCATTTACATTATTCCAGTCTCAACTTTAACCATAACTGGGAGCTTTTTAGTGAAAAACTGGATATATGAAAATAAGGCATATGTAACAAAAAATATTATTACTATTATATGGGTAAATCAGGGTTCGTACACATTTCTGCACATGGAAATTAAGTACTTTTAAGGACCATTAATGAAAAAAATTAAGGACATATGAGCAAATGGGAACTGAATAAATTCAATTAAAAATATTATCTATGCCTGAATTTCACTTTTGTAATACCATCCTAAAAATAAACACTAATTAACAGTTAACTTTATGTTGATTTTTTTAATGTCTCATTTTGTCACATACTTGGTCGGTCTACAGGTTTAGTAAATAAAAAGTAGATTTTATGTCAAACATTAAACATAAGTTAAAATAAGAAGTAAGATCATAATCAGTATAATTCATTACAAAAAATTGAATGTTGTAACCGCTGCTGCTTGTCTAGAGAGAGATCTGTTGATTCGAACAAACCTGAAAGGCCTAATGTAGGCATGGTTGGCAAGTGTTGAAAGTCAGTCAGGCTCTTTTTGATGCAGTTAGTGTCATAGCTTCGTGTAGAGTTCCAGGGGTTGTAACCCAGTTAATACAGTTTAAGGTTCCAATAAGCCATTAAAGCACCAGAGATTAGAAGTTGTTTTATATTACTTTAAGTCTCAATAGATGCAAAGAATACGTTTTACTTGAATTTTTACATTTTTATTTTATTTTGTGACCACAGTGAGTATTAATGAAAGGCAATGCTGTAGAGATAATTTTTAAGGGTAAACAGTTAGTTATTAATAATTAAATTAGGTAGTTTAATAACTAACATTATGGATTTACATGGCCACTATTAAATTTTATTTCTCAACCATATTGGTTAAAAAAGCCCTATTAACACATTAAAGGTGGGAGTCGTAGTACTACTATTTATCTCGACTGTAGCTTAAAGGCAGGAGCTGTAGTACTACGTTTTATCTCGACTGTAGCTTAAAGGCAGGAGTTGTAGTACTATGATTTATCTTGACTGTAGCTAGCGCAAGGATTGTGCAATGTGGTAAAACCACATTGCTCAATCCATGCACCACTTTACATTTGTATTAGTATGTTTTGTGATTTGAAGCTGTTCGGTTGTTCAAATTCTACTTACAGTAAATTTTGAAATCCTTCAATATGGTTTCACGTGAAAATAAAGATATATATGCAGGCGATTTGATGGACATTGAAGAGCTACAACCTGGTACATCGAATACGGCACCACAGACTCCACGATATAAAATTGATCCGCCTGGACGTCTTTTGCTAGACATCAAAAAGCACAAATTAATTCAGATAGAAAATAAAGGCAAAAAGCTATATGCCCAACGAAAGTGCGTAGTTTGTGTGGCACATAAAAAAAGAAAGTTGACTTGCCTTCAAATGCGAGTTTTGCAATCCACCTCTTTGCCGTGGCAAGTGTTATCAACATTATCACACTCATAAAAAAATACTAGATTCTTCTCATAAATATGTACTTTAAAACATTTTTTTGTAATTAGTGTTTAGTTCTATTTTAATATTTCTTGTAGTTTTAAGAGTTTAAATAAACTTTTAAGTCTAAATTTTTTTTTATGATTACACAAAATATCGCCCACTCTAGGTTGAAAATCGAGGTCAAGCGGTCGCCACGTTACCTAGCATACTTTTGTCAAGATCCCCCGCCTTTAATGTGTTAAAATCAAAATCTAATCAAATTTCACAGTTTAAAATACCTGTAATTTATGACATCGATCCTTAAACAATATTAGAATAATTACACATTAAAAGCCACAAAACATTTATATTTTGTAACAACAACACTCAGCAAAATCTGTCATTTTAATTTGAAGCCTTCCCGGACATTTTGGCTAATTTTTATCGATTTCCTTCTCTTTAAGCATCTTTTCTAACAATTAGAGTTTTGTCTCAATATGCAAACCAATTCTCTTGCTAGTTTCTGCATACTTTAATCTCCTAACTTGTCAACCTCTCCACAATGTACCTATGAGGGTTTACCTTGATCTGGTAAAAGTTAACCCCGACAGACGTGAAACATATTATCGCTATGTCTGAAAGTAATTACAATATCAGACAAACGTTTAAATAAGCCTCTTATTAAAAAAAAAAAAAAACTTAAAACATAAAAGCATGTTCTGATGCTAACAAAATCAATTACAGCTTACGGTGCTGTAATTAAACAAGAACAGTCAAATTCAAACTAAAAATGTGGATTAGTGGTAAAAGATTACACAATTTAATTTAAATTTAATCTGGCTCAGTAACTCTATCATATGAGAAAAGAGATATAGGAAATTATAGTAAAAGCCGATTATGATTTGCATAATAATAACTGCACATATCTTTGAAGAATAATTTTCTTTATGTGTTCAGTTTCTTTCTTCAACACATTTCCTTTTAGAATTTTTGGATTTAATTAAGGATTTTTGTTATTCTAAAAAACACTAAATGCATTTAGAATGCACAGAAAAAGCGGCTAATTTTATTTCTATTATTCAGAAAAAATATGAAATATATATATGGTAAAGGCCAGTTGCAGAGCTGATGTGACAGAATTTTTAGAATTTAATGACACGCCGAACAACAAAATCAAGAAATGGCAAAAATTTAAGAATTTAGAGCTGGCATTGGAAGCATTTAGAAAGGCACTAGGCAACATAATTTAGGATCCACAGAGATTGCATCAAGTGGGAAAATGTCTGGTGCAAGCTATGTATATGGTGCATTAAGACATATTAGATTAATCTTTTAAATTGTAAGTTTTCAATTTCTTTATTAATAAAAAAAAATCTCTTTCTATAATGCCTGCTCATGTGATAACATCAGAAGCATTTTTGATATTTTAGATGCCTGTGCCTAATGAAATTCTAGTATCAGAAGTAAAACATTCAAATATTATGCTTTCATTGTTCTTCCAGACATTCTCCAAAAAGTAAGAAATTCATTGCAGACTTTCTGTAAAATACCTCCATTATGTGTTGATACCATGGAGACATTTTTCATTTTGTCACATATTTCTAAAATTGTGCATTCAAATCCTTCTAAACTTTCCAAGCTGCAATGTCTAAAATCCTAAAGAAAAATTATCCCTACCAATTCTGTAACAGCAAAAGACCAGAAATAGTTTGGGAAAAAAAAGGGGGGGTGGAAAGTGTAAAATTAATTTGATAGAGAAAACTGATGCATATTCTGACAATTCTAAATACTCTGAAGCAATTACATGGGAAAAAACTCTTACCATGAAAAAATTAAAAAGAATACGTTTTTAATTAATTACATAGCTAATTTTGCTTTTGCTAAGAGCTGTTTCGTAAATTGTGCTTTAAAGCATTATAACTTGTTTATTTTTAAAATTCAAAATATTGTATAACAAGTTGCCAAAATGAAACTTTATAATATGACAGCGAAAAATATGTTTTAGTTATTTTTTAAATGTAATTTCAATATATCACCATTATTTTAATGAAATTTATCAATGTTATGATGTTTAAAAAAAAAAAAAATTGTCGAAAAATTTTCAGATCTCGGAATTAAAAATTTTCTATAGAAACTTATCTTAAAATTGCCAAAATGTTGAAAAGTCACCAAAAATTTAGAACTGTTTAATAAAAGAATTCACATCCCCCAAAAGCAAAAAGTTGTTTAAGAAGCACTTCTTCATTAGAAAAAACGAATTTTGAAATGCTTATGTTTCACTTCTTGCTGATATACCTCTAGTATACCATCATTTATATTAGAAGTAGGAACAATTATAACCCATGAACCTATTGAAAAGATAACCATATATGTCAGTGAAACGCCAAAAAATATTCCTCCAAAATGCTAATTCACACTCAAAATGGCAGTCGTAAAAACAGACAGAAATTTCAGATGATTAAAATTTTGGACCTTCTGCTGATTTTGGCCAAAATTAAGGACCAAAAATCGATTCCAAAAAATACGAACCCTGGTAAATACACAATTCTTCAAAGGTTATTGATGAATCATGCAGTCACAAATTGGGAAAAAATATTTGCTCATGGAAGTATACCAAATTTTCCTCTAGGTTTCATTAATTTAGTAGCAAGCTTCTCAGTTGTATAGTCAATCACATCAGAATCATATAAGAAGGTTAGTGTACAGCACTTCAGTGTAAGGCATTTCCTTCAATAACTTGGCACAGAAAGAATTTTGAAAGCAATAAAACTTTCCTTTCATTTTCCTTTGCAAAATAAAAGGAAAGAATACCGATTATGAATTGATGAATTTTTTGTTTGCAAAAAAATAATAATAATAATAATATTAATAATAATTACCTTGTTCAGCAGATAAATTATGTTCAGTAAAAATGAACAGAATGCCCAGTTTGGTTTAGTACACAAACTGTATGTAATCTTTCTTCTCAGTCATTCTGTATTTCTCAGGTTCAATTCATGAGAAATACTTAATTTGGCAGAGATAAAACAAGCTGATGTTTTTTAAATCATGTGTACATTTAAAAGCTTTAGCTGCTTTTTATTTTTAGCTATACTGAAATAGACTAATTTAAATTCTTTTCTATGTTCCTTTCCTCTGGGCTAACATATAATGCCAGAGGAATGATGGAAGAGGAAGACAAAGTTTTTAATGACAACCTCTTGGTTTGTATGTGTTTAATCTTCTTGCCTCTTTAATCATGGAAGAGCTTTTTTTCCCTTTTCATTATTCTTTTTTCTAGGCAATAGAAAATATCTAAAGTAATTTTATCAATGTTCACTGGCTATAAATTTTCACCTATACAAATCAGCTGGCATAAACAATCAGTCATAAATTAATTAGTTTGTATTTCTCTTAACATCTAAGTCATTATTTCTGTCCTATCGTAACAAATGCATTGTCACAATTAAGGATACTGCCATTTTCATTAGACACACTTTGATTTTATACATATTTAAAGCATATTACTCTCAATCCTGCTGAGTCTTCCAAGATCTGAAGACTATAAAGGAAAGTTTCTATCAAACATCCTCAAAGAAAATAATCATGAAAAATATAATTTATTATTAGAAATAAGTAATATATTTACAAAGTAAACATCAAATTTACCAGCATTAAAGAATACATGTGAAATATTATTTATACATATTTTGAAAGAAACTTGAAATAAAAGTAGGTATTTAAGAATAATTCTATCTAGTGATGCTTGCTGCCTAGCAACATGCCATGTGTTTGTTCAATGTCCCCTCTTATACATACTTTTTCCCACCTCCATACCAGTCGCCTCATTCAGCCATGTCACAAATTATGAAGTAAGCACATTTTTTTGTTTCATAAATATATAGATAAATTTATTAATATTTTTATATTTAGTGATCCTTTTTTATCATAGTAAGTGAAAAGGAAATAACTGACATAATAAAGGAGTTGGGCAATAGATGTTGAACTTAAGTAATATACATACTGTTATATGTAAACATTGTTATATTTGCTCAGAAGGCCCCAAAAACAACACCTTAATGAAATATAGGATCGGTGCTAGTCATTTAAAGTAGAAAAAGGTACCCACCTTAGGTCCATATAGTATTAAGTAGCAAACTATAATTGTCAAGCTTTTTAAGTACAAACACATGCCAAAATGGAAAAAGAATTTGTTGAGAATATGGTGAAAAGCATATTTAATCCGATATTCGCTGCATAAATTAAATCACCCAGCTGTTTGTTACTAATCGATAAAATATACATATATCTGGTTCAGATAATCTTTTGAAGATACTTTGAGATATTAATATGAACCATTTTGTATATATTCCAAGAAAGACAACTGAGAAATAAGCATCTCGTTGAACTGGTTAATGAAACATCTGACACAAACAAGTTAACTTACAGGGTTCGTACACATTTCTGCATACGGAAATTAAGTACTTTTTAAGGACCATCAATGAAAAGAATTAAAAACCTATGAGTAAATGGGAATTGAATAAATTAAATTAAAAATATTACCTATGCCTGAACTTCACTTTTGTAATACCATCCTAAAGATAAAACTGATCCATAAATAGGATGCATTATTATTAAACATAGCTTATTTAACAATTATTATTAATAAGTTTTAGATTAAAATACACTTTATGGAATTTATCACGTAGCATTGAATATTTTACACTTATAATAGTTGGACATATTTGAAAGAAGGTAAGTGACATATGTTTTACACTCTTTTTGCAAAAAAATTGAAGCACCATGAAGAAAGAAAGTGGTTGTTTTCGATAAAATTGAATACGTGTATAGCTCGCACACAGATAATAAAATGATTAAAAAATCAAGGTCATAGTACCTGTTCACGGCTCACAATCACCCATTGAGTGTTCAAATTAGTAGTTGGTCGAACCACCCCTGGCGGTAATGCATGCTTGAATTCGTCGAGGCAAGGAGTGGTAGACGTTCCTAATGTCATCCTGCGACACATTCTGCCAGGCATTCATCACTTGTCGTTCCAGATCTGCGATATTTTGTAGTGACCATCTGGCGGCCTACTACATCCCAGACATGCTCGATTGGTGAAAGGTCTAGTAATCTTGCTGGCCAAGGAAGAGTATCAACCACACGGAGACAGTCCACAGATATGGGAGCGGTACGTGGCCTGGCAATATCTTGTTGGAAAGAGGCCTCAGGATGACATGCCATGAAAAGTAATGCAACCAGCCGCAGGATGGTATCAACATATCATTAAGCTGTTAAAAATGTACGGAGGATGACTACAGATTACCTGCTGTCTTAAGAAATAGTGCGTCACACCAGGGTTATTGCTGTATACCTTTGTAAAACAAAGGCTGATTGGGACCGCTGGTCCTGTCCTCTCCAGACACGAACACGGTGGTCATTTGTTTCAAGAGTGAAGCGGGATTCATTGCTGAACGGCGAACCAATATTCCCATTAGTTTCTGCTTTATCTCCTAACTTGTCAATCTGTTGACTATGTACTTATGAGGTTTTACTTTATCTGGTACAAGTTAGTCCAACACTGAATGATAAAATCTAAAAATGGCAAAACTTTCAGAATTTAAAGCAGACACTTTAAGCAGAATTTAGAAAGGCACCAGGCAGCAGAATTTATGATCCTCAGAGATTGCATCAGGTGGGAAAATGCCTAGCACCAGCCTTGTGTATGATGCATTAAGACATTATTAGATGAATCTTTTAAATTGTTACTTTTCAATTTCTTTATCAATAAAAGAATTCCTTTTTATAATACCTGTCCATGCGATAAGATTAGAAACATTTTTAGTGTTCCCTATGCATGTGTCTAGTGAAAAGTAGCAGAGAAAATAAAGGGAAGGTAAACATGTTAAGGAAAAGATTCTAGTATCAAAAGTAAAACATTCAAATATTATGTTTTCATTCTTCTTCCAGGCAATCTCCGAAAAGTAAGAAATTCATTGTAAACTTTCTGTAAAATACAGCCATTACATGTTAATTTCCATGGAGACATTTTTTATTTCGTCACATTTGTCTGGAATCTGATAGAATCATCGGTCTATAAACCTTGCCTTCAAATCTTTCTAAGCTTTCCAAGTTGCAATGTTAAAATATTAAAGAAAAATTATTTATACCAATTCTGTAACAGCAAAAAGCAGAAATAGTTTTAAAAAAAAATCAGAGGGAAAAAGCGTAAAATTAATTTTACAGAGAAAACTGATGCATATTCTCAGAATTCGGAATTTCTGAGACAATTACTTGGGAAAAACTTTTGCCATGAAAAAAATTAAGAAAGCATTTTTAATTAATTACATAGGTATTTTGCTTTTGCTAAGAACTGTTTCGTAAATTGTGCTTTAGAGCATTATACTTTGTTTATTTTTCAGATTTAAAATATTGTATAATAAGTGGCCAAAACAGAACTTTATAATATGACAGCAAAAAATAAAAGTGTTTTATTTTAATGTTACTTTTAAATATAATTTCAATTTATTACCATTGTTTTAATGAAGTTTATCAACATTATAATGTTTTAAAAAAATTGCTGAAAATTCTCCAGATCTTGGAATTAAAAATTTTCTATAGAAACTGATCTTAAAATCGCAATGTTGATAAGTCGCCAAGTTTAGAACCGTTTAATAAAATAATTCACATCCCCAAAAGCAAAAAGTTGTTTAAAGGTTCTTTATTAAAAAAAAAAAATAAATTTCGCTATGCTTATGTTTCACTTCTTGCCTAGAACCTCGAGTATGCCATTATTTATATTAGAAACAGAAACAAATTATAACCCATGAACATATTCAAAAGATAACCATATAATATATCAGTGAATCGCCAAAAATATTCCTTCAAAATGCTAATTCGCACTTAAAATGGCAGTGGTAAAAACAAACAGAAATTTCAGTTGGTTAAAATTAAACACCTTCTGCAGATTAACATTCAAATAGCACAAAATAATATTTTAATTATTTGACAGGATGGAAAAACAAATATTCTCTACCTTGCATATTATATGGGGGACGATAATCTCCAGGTAGCTGGGGTTGTTTAAAAGGAGGCCCATATGGTTGCTGAGCAGTCATATCATTTCCACCATTAGGTGGTAGAACAGTAGTAAAAGTCTGAGTAGGAGGAGCAAAAGTATGCTGAGGAGGATAAGTTCCCTGTGGTATTCCCCCTCCTTGCTGCACAACTTGATATTGCTGCTTTTGCTGCTCCTGTCTCATTTGCATTTCTCTTTCTTGTTCTTGCATCCTTTGTATAGCTAATTGTCTCTGATATTGCAAATATTCCTAAAATAACAATTTATATTACATTACTTGAGTATTATGATAAGATCATTTTATTAATACAGGCAGTTATGCAAACAAAAGTTACATAAACTATTTATAAAACCATATGACCAATGTTTTGAAGAAAATATTTGCAGTAACACATCACTGTTACTGCAAACAAGTTGCACTTGATAAAGAAGGAATTTTCTGGAAAATGGAAATATGTTTAGCACATAAGCTCACATTTATATAGTAGAATCCTTTTTAACTGGCATCAATGAGACCTTACCAATTCCAGTTAACTGAATATATATTTCTAAAACTTACTTGTTCATGTTTTATGATGTCATCTGCAGAATGCAAAATCTATTGGCTAATCTTCTGGCTATGAATAAAAACTACCAAGAAAACTACAAAATATTGTTGCGTGCGTACGGGTTCGTTATGAAATGAATGCACAAGTCCGATGAAAAATGAACAAAAATTTATTATTATCACAACAAAAATGCTTAAATTTTCTCAAATTATCATGCAGTATTACAATATCTCACAGTAGTTTTCTTTTAAAAAACTACTCAAATGTCCAATATAGAACGTAATTCAAAAAAAAACAGCTAAAAGAACGCTAATCCCGCGAATTCGCTACAATCAACAAAGTAGTTTTTCTAAACAACAACAAAACTGAGATGTTTTCCTCCTTTTATAAGATTTTAAAAATCACGCGCTAGAATTTTCCAGTACTTTCTCGAAATCAAAAAGAGATATTTATTTATTTAATGCACGCGCTCTTGTATTTTCAATTTTCCGGCTTAGCTTTCTTTTAATATTCGACACGCGCTGCACTGCGCGAGAAATAAAACCATTTAATTTGTAATTGAACTAACATTAGCTTTTTAAATACCAAATTCGTAACACTTCCCCCTTCCCAAGGACTGCACGTCCCGGGCAGTACAATCCCTGGACAGGAAGCTAAACTTACAACTGTGGCATAAATGCATTAATAAGCATTACATTACAATAATAAACAACATGAACAATAAATGCAATACATAAAACAAATCAAATGCTATCAAATACAAATCAAATACACATTTAAAAACAAAATGGACCATGGTCTGATACTATTTACAATTATTTACATTACGTACTATGGCCATAGTAATGAGCTAACCTGTCGTAATGAACGACTTTAGGTTTAGAGTTCGAAGACTTACGAATCCGAACCACGACGTCATTTAGTCTGTTCAGCACTGTATACGGATCATCCGAAGGTGACTGTAATTTAGGACTCAGTCCTTTTCGTTGAATCGGGTTCCACAACCACACCTTGTTTCCTTTGTTGGATCTATGTCTAGTAGCTCGCGTGTCGTATCTGGTCTTCACTTTCTCCGTCGCCAAGTTGACTCGCTTTCGTGCAGAACGGTGCATCCCCTCAAACCGGGCCTGGGCATCTTGAATGTGTTCCTCAGGCGATGAAGGCGCATCCGTAGGGCGACTAAACAGGCGGTCACAAGGCAGACGAAGGTCTCGACCGAAGAGCTTCTGGGATGGAGAATAGCTGGTAGTCTTGAGTTTCTTTTCGTCCCTGGTATGATTTCGGCAGCTTCCCGAGCTCGATCTTTCGGACAAGGCGTCGATATTTCCAGGCGAGGATCCCTTTTGAGGATGGATAGTCATGCCATCAGATGCTGAAAGCAGCTTATTGTTTTTGAAATCTAAGGAAAAATTGTATTTCCTTAAAAAGTCCAATCCGAGTATGCATGGATCTGTAATATCCGCCACATATGCCGTGTGATGGTAGGCGGCACTTCCAAACGTGATGTTTTACGTTTAACTTCCCAGTTATGTCGATCTTGTCACCAGACGCAGTCTGAAGGGTAACACAGGATGGCGTCGATGGCGTCCAAATAAGTTTATCTTTAAACTGTTCAGCTAAATCTTTCCTAATGATGGTAACATTAGCTTCCTGTGTCAATGATCATATTGCAAGGAACTCCATCGATATTCCCATTAATGGACAGTCCGTTACTGTTGCCACTCACTGTATAAATTGTAAGTGCTTTAAAACAAGGTTTTTCATTATCTGGCAACCTCTGTCCCTTGATATGGTCATTAATTTGTTTCCTGCGTCGTTGCTCAGAAATTTTCTCAATTTTCGTACCCTGGAGTGTTCTGCAATTCGTTCGTACGTGGCCTTCAGCTCCACAGTTCCAGCACTTTGGTTTCTTGTCAGTCCTTTTCCTTCCCATGGCATTTAATTGTCTGTTTAAATCGTATGCCTTATTTTCCGTGCTCTGGGGAGTTCTGCAGTTCCTTCGTAGGTGGCCTTCAATACCCGCAATTCCAGCACTTAGGGTCGGTTTTGTTTTCACCACTATTTCCGTCTTAAAGCATTCACTGGTCTTGTCAACTCATCCGTTTTATTATCCGTGCCCTGGGGTGTTCTGCAATGCCGTCGTAGGTGACTTTCAGAACCACATCTCCAACATCTTACAGCCACTTTGTTCTCACTGCTACTCCGTATCAAAGCATCGACTTGTCTGTATAAATCATCTAAACGAGCCATCAATTGGTCCCCTGGGTCGTGGACTCGCACATCTCTGACTGGGTAGCGATCTCTAAGAGTTGCTTGCTGGGCTGCCTCCAATTTCACGGCGTACAACAGAGCGCTTTTTACATCCTTTACATCTGCCATTCGTAGAGCCTTCTGTATTTCGGGATCACGGATGCCGTCGATAAAGTATTGCAAGGACAGGATTTCCCTTGTTTCTGTCGGGCATTCCGAGAAGGCGAGATGGGACAGCCTTTCAACATCCGCGGCGAGCTCCTGAAGTGTTTCGGTAGGCTTCTGTTGACGAGATTTTAATTGGAGCCTGCTGTAGTCTTTTAAACACTTCTCCCCAAAGCGCAACTCCAAGGCGCCGGACAGAGCTTCGAAATCTAACCTTTTGTTTTCGGGAAGAGTCTGAAGGATATCCGCTGCGTCGGCTCTTAGAGAAGCGGCGAGATGACAGGCCTTAGCTTGGGAATCCCATCCATTCGCATCTGCCACGATAGAAAATTGTGTCTTATACACCTGCCAAGGGAGGTCTTCCCATCATATGTGGATAGCTTCAGAGAGTGGACGAGCAGGCATTGGTAAGAAATTTAAAATCATCACTCCTGCTTCCCTGCCGACGCTATGAATGCTTCTTTAAAGTATCCATTTCCTTTGGCAACTGCAGAAACAAAAACCCTCTCATCAATTTGTTCTTTGATGGCAGAAACTCTCTCTTCTATCTGCTCTTTCAAAAGAAACTCTTTTTCGATTTATTGTTCTAGGGCAGAAATTGTCTCTTCTTTTTTTTCCTTGACCGAAGAAACTCTTTCTTCAATTATTGTCCAACTTTATTTTCAACTGCGTCAATTCTGCCTTCCATAGCTTCAAATTTATTTTCTATTATGCAAGTAGCAGTTTCTCTTTTCATTTCTTCTTGACCAGCTTGAACTTTTCCCGACCAGCTTTCCATCTTCGTCCTTTAACGGATTCATCTGGCCTTTTTAACAAATCCTTCATTTTCTTCCTTTAAATGATGCTTGGCCAGCTTCCATCTTTTCTTGGAATGCAGCAAAAGCACTAATGAGCTGTCCTCAATTGTTCTTCCATCGCTCTTGTTATTGGCATTCAAATCCCACTTCTGACACCAAAAAATTGTTGGCGTGCGTACGGGTTCGTTATGAAATGAATGCACAAGTCCGATGAAAAATGAACAAAAATTTATTATTATCACAACAAAAATGCTTAAATTTTCTCAAATTATCATGCAGTATTACAATATCTCACAGTAGTTTTCTTTTAACTACTCAAATGTCCAATAGAACGTAATTCAAAACAGCTAAAGAACGCTAATCCGCGAATTCGCTACAATCAACAAACAGTAGTTTTCTAAACAACAACAAACTAAGCAACTTCTACAAACTGAGATGTTTTCCTCCTTTTATAAGATTTTAAAATCACGCGCTAGAATTTTCCAGTACTTTCTCGAAATCAAGAAGAGATATTTATTTATTTAATGCACGCGCTCTTGTATTTTCAATTTTCCGGCTTAGCTTTCTTTTAATATTCGTCACGCGCTGCACTGCGCGAGAAATAAAACCATTTAATTTATAATTGAACTAACATTAGCTTTTTAAATACCAAATTCGTAACAATATTTATAACAGTTATACATGATTTTATATTTCAGAAAAGTAAAATGAAGCAATGTTTTAAAATTACCATACACCAAAATATCATCATTTGTTAGTGTGATGGCATCTAATTTTAAATGTCTGTTGCCACAGTCTAAAAAATTTGCTGTGTAAACAATGGAAGATTCATAACATCATGCATTATCATTGAACATTGCTTGGCAAAGCATTTACATCATCCCCCCTTTCTCCATTCCCAGAACATCTCCCATTACTTCGTCATCATCTTGACAAAAGCAGAATTATCTACATCAGCAGTTTTCAACCTTTTGACTAATGCGTACCTTCTAAACAAAAATTGAAAACCTATAGTACCGCTACTACAAAGTACTACTACACCACCACTCTTGAACAAAGCTCAAATCGCATAAATTTACGAGTGTTAGAGAAAAGCCTCAATCAGGATGTCGGGGTTTTAATTTTTGAATTTAATAGTTAAAAATACTTTGCTTCTTGGCATACCATCTATTTTTCTCTTGCACACCACTGGTTGAGAACCCCTGGTCTACATACATTCAAACCTGCACCTCCTCCTTACTCGCACTAATCTTCTTTGAACAGCTAAATTCAAGATGCCAGACACTTTTGAAACTAAGAGAATCTTCATTGCTAGATTCATCATCTATGAACATGATCTAATTTACAGAAACAGTAATGTAAAATAATGTTCCTTGCGTCTTTCCAAACATGAACCAAAATAAATATAGCATTTTTTTATGAGAATTGTTTCCGAAATTCATGGACACCACCATCAAAGTTCACAAATTAGTGTATAAAAAGGGATGAAT